CCTAGAACCAACTACGAAAATTTTATCAAGATCAAGATCAATAAAAACTATTGGCCCAATCTTCAAACAAGAAAAATTACGTTTAGACGACCTGAATTGTTCAAGAGAAAAACTATCTGTTGCAGCCTTTACCGGAGAAGAAAGAAGAAGAATAAGAAGGAGAACACCCTCTCCCAACAAGTCCGTAGACAAAGCTAGGAGAGGAAGAAAGAGACAATGCTTAGAGGAGAACACATTTTAGAGGGAAATTGTAGAATTTGAGGCACCAAGGAAGTTTAATATTCCTTTTTTGGAATCATACAGAATAATACTAATCCCACCAACCACCAAGCTTCATTCATTTTAGTTGTGTGTCTACTGCAGATAAATGATGCTTTTAAAATAACATTTATTTTTTATGATATTAGAAGAATCAACCCTACTTTGGTTCAACAACCTGTCAGAAGATGTTGTCGCCTCCTTCAAAGATTTCAAAAAGTGTTAGTGAAAAAATTTCCTCACACACATAAACAACCAAAGAACTCTCAAACCATCAGGAAAATTTGTTAGGAACTACCAAGAGCCTCAAAAGCTTCATCACCTCCAATGGAAGATGCTAGGTGTCCAAGATATCGAACTATTGCTGCTCATGTAGCTTTGGCCTAAGGACTTCATGAAGGATCGTTCTTTCATGTACTTGGCTAGTGGAAGCCAAAAAAGTTGGTGAAACTCTCGGATCTCGTGAATGGCCACATCTTCACTGAAGAGTATATCTCTCACTCAAGGAGAAGTTCCAAAGATGATCCCGCGATCAATGTCAAGATTCAACGATTCGTTTTAGAAAAAATCTTAGGGGACTTTCGACAAACATACCCTCCATGAGCGAAGCAACACCGACAAGAGACTGATTAGAAGAAAGTTATAGAGGAATTAGAAATTACATTGCAAACTCCCACCCCCCACCCCCACCCTCGTGTTCCTTCTACTAAAGGCACACCTTTGAGAGTTTTAATAGCTAAAATCATTCGGGCCATTCAGAAAAATGATTACTTTAGGAAGCTTTTTCCCATGAAGGAAAGCAAGTACACTAGTGATTCAAACATATATTGCACGTATCATCGGTATGATGATCGCAAAATGAGCATTGACATCCTTACAGTTTGATCGAAGAGCTAAGCAAGACTAGAAAATTGAAAAAAATTATGGCTCCAGAAACCCATACTCAATGATAAGGCAAGACACCCGTTAAGGGTGATAGTGATGAGCTTACTTCGATGTGGTTAATCTATGTCATCAGAATCATACCAACCATCTTTGAAAAAGAAGGACTTGAAGCTTTGTGATGGTTCAGCAAGAAGAGGGTCTACTCAGCCACTTTGCTTAAGCGCATTATACCAATCCACCCTCCTGTCATTTTTTTTGGACATTAATCTACCCATAGGTTGGAATCCTTCAACTATGTCATCATGGTTACAACTATTATTGAGAATTATCAAATCGGTAGCATCCTGATAGACGTTTGTAGCTTTTTAAGTTTCTTAATCAAATGAGCTTTTAATAAGATGGATATTTTCATTAATTGGCAGGCCCCCACCTCTGAACTGTTTTTTAAATTTATCGGATAACAAAAAGAAATGTGTGAAGTAATCACCCTTTAATCACTTGGGGAAAAGGAGAAATCCAATACATGGCGATAACTGACTTCATCACAATAGAGGTCCTAAAAATGTATAATTCCATCTTCAATAGGCCAAAGTTGAATACTTTTAAGGGGATTACATCTACCTACCAGTCCATTGCCAAATTTCTATATGGCAAATAGATCATCACCATTCAAGAGATCTAGTACAATATTGAACCTGTTTATTGAGAGCCATGTAGAATGTGCAGGAAGATCTCCTCTTGCTTACTAAAAATAAAGGCAACTGTCTTGAGGACACCAAAATCCCATAAGCAATGCCTATTTTTAAAGAATAAAAATTAAGAACCTTCTTAGTCAGTGTTGATTTCAGTAGTGATCATCGGGGCCAGTCATCACAATTCTGAGGAGTCATCGAGATTTCTTCACATGGACCTCCAGCTAGATGCATGGAGTCAACATTGACATTTCCAGTCATCATCTGAATATTAAAACACGAGCTCGTCATTTCAAGGAAAAGATGTGAGCCATAGCCAACAACTTGACTTAACCAATAAGATAGGATGTTATGAAGCTGTGGATGTTGGTTTCATACAAGAGGTGCAATATCCCGACTGGCTTGCCAACATGGTAATGGTGAAGAAATTGAATGAAAAATAAAGAATGTGTGTCAACTTCACTAATCTGAAGGTTGTTTGCCAACAATATTATTGTTCGGTCTTCATTCTCAATACTCACATCAAACTACGCTAGAACTGTGATTATTTGATTGAAGACATTCACGTGTTGCTCCAGACCAAAGTTTGTCAGCGTCTTCACACATACAACATTTGCTTTAGATAAAGTTTATTCGTTAGGGAATTGAACATAAACTCAGTTTCCAATTTCTTTCATACTTCTCATGGAGATTTCAAATTTATAATGTGATACATAATCTCATTTGCCAGACATAAACGTATGATACATGCCGCTTGTTGTTGCAATTCTTCTCAATCTTCATCTTCCATCTTATCAGGTTTCCTTGGTTTCGAAGCTTTTGAAATTCCTTGATGCTCAAACAAATCATTCACCTTTATTTGCCACAATCCGAAGTTACCAATTCTATCGTACTTCACCACTTTAAATTTTGCACCAAACATTGTCATCTCAAATTACTTCTCAAACAAACTTCTCTGTCTCGAGCCGAAGCCAAACCATCGAACCAATCTTTTCTGCGTCAAAGCACTCGTCGGTCGCCGAATCCTTCGCACAAATTGTTCTTCTTGAGCTAAAATTCTCGCCGCACAATCGTTGTAGCATTTGTCAAACGAACACACAACCGTCTGAACTCCTCTGCCTCGATAGTCAAAGCCCTCGCCGAACCGCCGATCTTCTTCGTCCTTCATGCGCTGATCTCCTTGCTTTGATACGAAAACAAAATTGGAAGAGGATTCAAGAATGCAAGAGATTTACGAGGTTCGACAATGTGCCTCAGCAGCAGAATGACAGTTTCTATTCCAGAAGTGAAAATCAGTTCCCATAGAGTTACAAATACTATATATATATATATATATATATA